TCTTCCCCTCTATCCCCCCTCTCTCTCCCGTTCTCTCTATCTCTCTCTCCCCTCGCTCTCCCCCCTCTCTCTCCTCCGTCCCCCCTCTCCCTATCTCTTTCTCTCCCCCCTTTCTCTCTCTTTTTACTTACACTCCCACTCACCCCTCCTCTTCCAACACACAACGTGATAGCAGTATCAACAAGTATCCGGCATAGTCTACATGAATTAAAGTACATGATTATGTTTATAACAACATGGCTTCAAAGTGGGATATCTATCACGCTCGTATTGCTGAGGGTAAACATGATTTCTTTCTTTCTTTCTTTCTTTCTTTCTTTCTTTCTTTCTTTCTTTCTTTCTTTCTTTCTTTCTTCCTTCCTTCTTTCCTTCCTTCTTTCCTTCCTTCCTTTCTTTTTTTCTTTTTTTCTTTCTTTCTTTCTTTCTTTCTTTCTTTCTTTCTTTCTTTCTTTCTTTCTTTCACAGACTCAATGACATTCTACCGGTGCCTGTGGTGTAGTGGGTAGGCGTTGCACTCCGGTACGCAGATGACACGAGTTCGATTCCCATGTGGGGATAATTTTTATCGAGTGTCTTCGTCTTCGTGTTTCCCTCTCAGCCCATGGCAGGATGCTAAATTGTATCGGTGGAGGGGCAGTATCATCTACACCCGCCCCCTCCAATAAAATAAATAAATAACGACAAATGCAGTTTTTAGGACACCTGCATAGACACAAAGGTCTTGAACATCCAGCTCTCACTGGCAAATGGAAGGCAAACGGAACAGGGCAACCTACTTAAGGAACCTAAAAAACAAATGGATAACAGGGAAAGATCAGAGAAAGGTAGCTTTTTTAAGAGCATCCGAGCAAAGAAATGAATGTAGAACCATGATCGCTGATGTCTGTCGCAGATTTGGCACTCGATGAAATAAATAAATGAATAATAAATTTTAGAAATAAATTAATAAATACAATAAAATTTAAAAAATAAAATGAACAAATAAAATGAAAATAAAAAATAAAATAAACAAATTCATAACACCGCTACAAACGTCGTCCTTCTTTGGTAGCACGATTCCTTCATCAACACTCCACGCTAATAAATTAAATTACTCAAGGTTTTAAATTTAAAATCTTCCTTATGCTGAGCTGTTGAGAAAACAGGTGATAACTATATGCGCTCTTAATTAACCGTTACGATAGCTGGGTCGCCATCGCTTACAGAAATGACAACGTCATTCCCACAGGAGTAGGTGAAAACACTTTTTACAGGGTACTTATGTGTTGTTGTGGGTGGGTGGTTGGCTGGTGCCCTGGTGTCGTTTGCTCCTTCTTTCCTATCAAACATACGTCGGCCTGATCTCTCATCCTTCTTTTTGTGTTTTTTATTCTCTTGTAACACACATCTAATCTTCGGCACTGATATGACCTTATTGTGTTGCAAGAGCTGTATTACTAAAACTAAACCAAAGGGCACTTGTTGAGAGAGGGTACTCAGTCGTTACCAAGTTCAGAGACTCTCACTAAAACGGTTGATTTTTTTCAACGTGTAACTCAAAATAGTCATATATTGTTACAATCGAGACAATGTAGATTACTTAGAAGGCGGGTTTCTTCGAACCTACACGTCACAATCAACAAAGTGGACGCTGGCTAAGAGGAAGACAGTACCCCTGGAGAAGGACTGAAATACTCGTTAAAAATACATGTCCTCACTGAATAGTGGTTTCGGTAGCCAAGTGGTTATGCTGCCGGACTCGTAATCGTGAGGTTGCATGTTCGGGGGTTCGAGCCTCAGCTCGGTCCGACGTTTTGTCCGAGGGAAAGGCACTTTAGACGAAATTCCCATTTGGCTTGGTCCTTTCGGAGATGGACGTTAAACTCGGAGGTCATGCCTCTTAAATAACCTAATATAGTTGATAGAGGCGTTAAACCTATACCATTTCACATTTTTTCTCACTCGGGAATAGAACTCACGTCTTTTGCGTGCACTAATGAAATATTTAACCATTACACCAATTACGCAGGTAATGTAACTTGCAAGACCTAGACATGTACTGGGTGTCCACATTCTTGCATTTCACTACAGTAGTCGAGATGTAGCAGTAACCAGCAGCCATTTTGCACGCTCTCAGAAACCGGAGAAACTCCAGGCAATGTGGAATTTATTTTTAACTCTTAGAGGACTCATCGGACACTGGGTCGTTTGAGCAGCAGATCAAAGGCAATGCTGTGGCACATTTCGAGCCATTATACACAAATAGGGGGAGGGGGGGGGGGCTCTCGTAGCCTAGCTATTAAGGGGGTCTTCTCTCATTCAAAGGTCCCGGGTTCGAATCCGGGTAGCGACCGAAAAGTTTTCTTCTCTAAAATTGTCTCCTTTCACCCCCTTTCCTGCTCTCTAGCAATGTTCTGTCGTCTGCTTTCGTCTTCTCTTTCTGCCCCCACCCCCTTTCCTGCTTTGTCCACTCCTCTTTCTGCAGCCGTTCTATTGCTACTCTTTGGCTTCTTCTTACTGCTGTCTTTTAGTCACACCCCTGGTCTCCTGGTAGGAAAGATCTACACCTAGCCTTTTCTGACAAGGGCGAAAAATCTCGGAGGGACCGTGTGCAAGTTGCGCACGTTAAAGATCCCTTGGCGGTCCAATACCGATAAGAGTAGGCTTCGGCCACCACCCAGGCAAAATTCAAAATTTCCTACCAACTGAAACATTTTAATGTGTCCCGCGAGCTCATATGGCCTTATGCAGACTTTGCGAGCGCCGTAAAACACTTACAACAAAAAAAAGGAAAAAAAAAGAAGATAAACACAACTAAGAGACATTGAATTGATATGCTTATATCATATTATACATTTAGTAGATGCCTGACTTTAAAGTCTCAAAACACGGACTTCGAAAATCTCTTTTAAAAACGAGATATGTATCTTTTTTTAAAAGTGCTCCCAAACAGCCAGTGTTCAGAATGTATCTAACCAACAGAATAAGCGCCCTCAATAAATTTATGAAGACATTCAAAACAAAAGCCGTTTTAAGTCTTTAAAAAATTAATGCAAAACTAGTTTTCACTGTTCAGTCAGATCTTCCCGATGACAACAGAGTAAAAACGGCACTGTTCCTGATTTTTGGGGAGCTTTCTTATCGCAGCTTAATTAGTCTATATTTTTTTTGTTTTTTGTTTTTCTTTTGGTATGTGTTTTAAGGTGCTCGCAACTGCACAAGGTCACAATATGAGCGCGCGTGATGGACCACTAAGATATCTTTAACGTGCGCAACTTACACACGGGACCTCCGAGATTTTTCGCTCTTGTGCGAGAAGGCTAGGTGTAGATCTTACCCACCATAAGATCAGGGATGCATCAGAAAGACAGGAGTAAGAAGGAGCAAAGAGACGACAGCAGACGACAGAGTATTGTTAGAGAGCAGGAAAAGACGAAGAAGATTTTCCGTCGTTATCCGAATTCGAACCCGGGACCTATTGAATGAGAGGCGAACACCTTAACCTCCAGGCCACGAGAGTCCCCGCTTAATTGTGTGACTGATACAATCAATACTGTTTGGCAGAAGAAGCTGAATCACTTACGCAAAGATTATGTGGTCGAAAACTTACCTCAGCAAGCATACTGTAAAGAGGGTTTTCGCCAAAAGTCTTTTTGCATAACATCTTCCCTTTGGGTCCATAGCTGGGGCGAAACTGTATGACACAGGTATATAACACGCACGTGTTGCTTAATTTATTCACTCAGAATCTTCCTCTCCAGAGTGGACAGTTGGATTTTCAGAATGAACCATTCATCAATGGACCGAGTTATCTAGAAAATACCACTGTCCAATTGGAGTTCTGAGTCTTTCAGAAATATTTTTAATGGTGCAAGTTGTAAATCTAAACTTTTAGCTGTCTGAGTCCAAGGTATCATCAAAAGCCGCAAAAGAAGGTAACAAAAACTAATTGTTACAAAAGGATTTTGAGGCCGAGCAGGCTTTGAAAATGAGCGAGAGTCACGACAGAGCAACGCAGGGCAGGAACGCGGAGAACGGTGACGTCACAATGAACAACGGCAACGCTGATGACGAGGACACCAACCCTCGTGACGTGGAGAAAGCTTCACGTTTGGAGGAGCATCCTGTGTTTGTTGAGGACAACGATGATAATGAGTACGATGCGAACTTCTTCGTCGGTGGGGATGTTATCGAGGTGTCAACTGACGATGTGGAGACCCGATGTGGTGTGTTTGGATGCCGGCCTGATTTCCTCCAGCCGCTGGCCAAAGTTGGATGTTTTGCCGGGATGTACGGGTTTTCGGGCCTTGTGACCTCCACGCTGTCTGTGTACGTCAACTCACAGGTTTGTTGGTTTGGGTGTTTGTTTGTTTGTTTATTTGTTTGTTATGTTCTCTTATAGAAAAAGCGAGAATCCGAGTTAAGGCGGAAAAATGAAGGGGGCTCACGTGGTCTAGAGGGTAAGGTGCTTGCCTCCTATTCAATATGTCCCGGGTTCGAATCCGGATAGCTACGAAAACCTTTCTTCTCTAAAATTTTCTCATTTCACACCCTTTCCTGCTCCCTAACAATGTTCTGTCTTCTGCGTTCGTCTCCTTTTTCTGTCCCACCCCTTTCCTCTTTTGCCCCTTCTTCTGGGCTCCTGACACTTTCTGCAGCCTTTCTATTGCTTCTCCTTTGCTCCTTCTTATTGTTGTCTTTCAGCCACACCCCTGATCTTATGGTAGGTACGTTCTACACCTAGTCTTCTCAGATAAGGGAGAAAAATCTCAGAGCTCCGGTGTGCAAGTTGCGGACGTTAAAGATCCCTTGGTTTTTTTAAATCGATAAAAGTAGATTTCGGACGTCACCCAAGCAAAATTCAAATTCCATACCAAGTGAGAATGTTTAATGTGTCCGCGCGCTCATATGACGTTATGCAGTTGCGAGCACTAAAGAACAATTACGAAAAAAAAATGAAAAAATGAAAAAGTAAAGTGCAGAGAAAAACTCAGACATACGGAAGAAACAGTAGATTCAAATCGCTGCCTTAGAATGACAAAGTTGCCACTGACAATTTAGGCCGTTTTGAGTTAATAAGACAATGAGGTCAGAAACCAAACGTTCTATTTGCTCTATCAAAATCGTAAAATTATTCGGGGTCGTTATCAAGATATTCAAAAAATTACATTCGAAAAAGCTTGGTGTGTTGTGAAACTTTAAATCTTTTAACGCCAAATTTCTCAAAACTAGGTGCTGGGTAGATAGAACTTTGTAATTCTAGGGTAGCAAAATATGACACAAACGGCCAGGATTAAAAGTGAAAAATTAATGTCACTTGAATTATAACTTAATAGCCTAGACTGTCCACTGTCATGCCTGCCACACTGCAGCCACACTGCACTCTCTTTAACAACTTCGCTGCAGAACATGCACAAAGCACGCGCACTATAGGCGCCCGAATGAAGAGCATATATTATAATATTGGTCCCACTATGGTCTTGCTCGAACTACTCTTTTCTTCCCTTGCCCTTCAGTTTTTGGTATAAGTCTACGGTTGCCATGGTAACGGCGGCCATATTGAAAATAAACAACTTTCATAAAAGTAAAGAAGATTTTTTGTTTACCAATCAAATTTGTTTTAAATTAGGTACATTTATAGATACACGCAATACACAATTTTACGTTGTTCGGATCTTGGATATCTTGAGTCTGAATTCGATTACATAATTATCCATGTAACTCATCCATTAATGCATCGATTTGACTTTCTACCTGTATAAATGTAGATTATGGTGTGAATAACAAGCCCTGAAAATTTCAATTGGAATCAAATAGAAAATAAAACCGTATATGAGAAAAACTATCAAAAATTGAAGTTTTGAGAAGATTGAACATTTTGTTACCTAATCGGCAAAAATAAAAGTTCTAAGACAGAAAATCTGAAAGATGATGATTGTAACAGAAAGGGTAAGCGTATTTTATATTTACAAGTGGATGAAGTATTATAATACTTTAAAAAGTCCAGATACCATAAACTGACCTCAAATCCTCAATTTAAAACCAGCATCCCCCCACCCCCTAAGTTCTTGCTCCCGCAAAACTTCAACATTTTTAGTGTCTCTTGTGGGCACGGATGTTATAATACCATAGCCAATGACGCATAAACTGACGCGTCGGTACTGCTAATTGTGGGCAATAGGGGGAGTTGCGGGTGTGATGGGGTAAATGTTTGGGGTAGGGATTGGGAGCATTGGGAATAGGAGTTGGGGTAGGAATGGGAGGATAGAGAATTAGAGAAGGGGTTAGGTAGAGAATGGGAACTCGCGCCAAGCAAGGAAGAGGTTAAAGACATGCACTACCCACTTATGCAACATGTCTATGGACACCGGGGTGAATAAGGCACACCCTGTCAAAAACCTTACCTTATACATGTTCTTTCAAATACACAAATATTATAATGGCTCATCTGACTATCCAAAAGTCCTACTATATACCTTGAAACATTTAAAGTGCAATAAAATAGGAGGTCCTCTCCAAAGTTTTAACGAATCTTGCAGAGGTCGATTTCAAATGCAGGCAGAAGCCATCTTAAAATCGAGCCTCAGTTCCACCAAAAATATTCCTGCGGAACTATTTTAATGTAAATGCACTCCAAATTGATTACTTTTTTGGGTAATGTGTTTAAAAATTACCTAAAATCACCTTTGCCATCAAAAGAAACATTCTAAAATCATCATAACATTTTCTCAATTACATGACTTAGTCACCTTGTGCGTGGTGCTTTTAGTCACTCCAGCTTACGGTGCTGTCTTATAAAAATATGTAGAAGAGAGGATGGGCGAGAAGATATGTGTATATGATTGCATGCGCGCGCGCGGCGTGTGTGTGTGTGTGTGTGTGTGTGTGTGTGTGTGTGT